ATCATTTTAAGAATGGAGAAGCCTTATAATACAGATAGAATAACAACAGCAACCTCAGGGTGCCTCAGATTTTTTTATCAACACTCTGAGCATTAGCTGTTGTTTTTATGATCCTGTTATGCTATATTTCTTACAATGAGCAGAGATGCACAGTTTTGAGATTTATGGCCTCTTTTCTGATCTGCTGACATTTCCAAATCTACCCCGTCTCATGATTGACAGAACTAAAGCTCAAAAGGGTAAACAGAGCGACTCACTGTAGTATTTTCAGCTGGCCCTGTATCTAATGAAGTCCACTCTAGGTCAATTGACCCGCCATCGCTAAATCCATGAAATCTCTTCCAGATGGGTTAGAATTGACATCTTGTGACCAACAGCTTCTTTTTATTGGAAGAACTTGCAAAAAATAAACTTCCACAACAGCAAAATGTAACTAATTCGTCTCTATAAAAAGATATGGTCCCCTTTAATTTAGTCTCCTACGCTCTACAAATTGATAGGATGGTCCTCTCTCTGCAGGGACAGCTTCCACAGTCAAGACCGGTTCAGTTAGTGTAACCTGGAATCACTTCAGTACATTCAATGGAGAAAAAACACGGCATCTCTTTTAGTTCTACAGCAAGCCCACACCAGCTGTTATATGGAGTGAATTTTGTTCCATTATTTGTTGTTTTCTCTGATTTGTTTTGTTTTGTTTTATTTCCTTATATTTTTCAATTTTGTTTACATTTTTTTTCATTGAGGTTAACAGCCCCCCCTTTAAAATGTCTATGCACACTCCTCCCACACATCAGCAGTGTTGATGATTACTGGTTCATATTTTGTGGTTTGTTGCTTATCTGATCCGGAGTCTGATCAGATTGTGGCATTCCTGCCCGTTCGGCCCCAAACTGGCCCTAGATCAGTATCTGTGAAGATTCTCAGTCATCCAGGTCATGATCAAGCTTGAGAAGTTCAGTTTAGGCAACTGGAAAAGAAGTTTACGTAAAATGGAACACCTTTTGCAGAAAAATACAGTGCTTTTATTGACAATTTGTGTTACTCAGACGGTTGAAGAAGCACAATCTACAACTACAGGGATCTGTTACAATATGAATCCCTTTATACATCTGCTCCATCATCACTTGACAGTAAGTTATAAGAAAACAAGACTATGAAAAAATGTCCGGGCATATGTGGCACCCGGACTGCAAAACTATGCACCAACGCAGACTAGAATAGGCTGATTTTTATACTACAGCTATATTCAACCTGAAAGAAATAGGATGGACAATTAAATTAAAGCACAATTACAAGAAGCAGAAAATGGACAGACAGGAATTTTAAATAACTCAAAAAGTTTTAATATAAGACAAAGAAAAAAATCTCAGCAAGTAAGATTTAAGTTTTTAAATGATTTGATTTATTCAGTTAAAGAGAAACTAAACCAGCCTGATTTGTCTGATAATATTTCACTAATAATTTCCCTTTTTCTAATCCATGCATACAAACAAACATGCAAACACCCAGACCCGATTGCTAGAGATCAATCCTCAATCAATCCCTTAAGTAAAATTTGATCAATTAAAGCAGACAAAAAAAAATAAAGGCAAAGTGCAGAATACTTGTAAAAAATAAAAATAAAAATTAAAGGGAAACATTCTACAAAATCCGACAGCAAATTTCTTCCTCCTCACATTTAGAGGCACATTAAAGTAGGCCGGAACATTTCCGTAATGACAGTAAACAAACTTAAGTTTTAACTTGGAGGGATCTGTTTCTCACATGACTTCATCCTGGAAAAACAGGGATCTGGGTGTGTTGAAAAGACGCCTTAGAGAAACATCTACTGCTAATATAACAACATAAACACTGATGACCATAAAGCAAACAGAGGATTTATGCTTACTTTTAAACTGAACTTATGCTTTTGAACTGTGGAAAAGAAAACACTGTTAAAATTAGATCAGCGTGCTCAGTGGAATTACACTACAGTTGCTGCAGACTAACCCCGACTTCAGTTCTCTGAAGACACAAGTCTGGTTCTTCTGCAAACTGCTTGAAATATGCAAAGGTACCTGGCTCTTAAACTGGTATTAAAAACCAAGACTGAAGACCCGCCATGCTGATCTACTTGATAACAAACCAAATTCAACATATAACATACAGTTTATGCCTTTTAATCAGTACCTGATGTGTTTTAGCTAAAATTAAACAAACACCGCAGGACACTGGTATTAAAACTGTAATATTTTCAGGCTATCTGTTTGCTTTTGGATATAAATCTATAAAATCTTTAACTTTACTACTTATGTTTTAACTACAGATTTAAATGGAAGAATGATGATGTTTTTAAATACAATCTTTATCCTTTTATGGTTACAGTCATGGACTCTTGCACAGATCTTGATGCTGCATCTTGGCTAATGGGTGCTGACATTTTGCATTTTTGCAGTAACGTGGCAATGGGGTAGGGGAGGTTTTCGCAGAGGCCTTTTGACAAGCACTACCAAGACTTAAACAAATGCAAAATCCTTCAAGAATTACTTTAAATTTTACTGTAAGTGGAACAAACTTAATGTAAATAACTTCTTTATTTTAAGAGGTAGACTTAAATAAACCTCACGCAATAAATTGATGAAGAGTATCGATGAAAAACAGCACACAAATATATACTATTAATGTAAGTGATTATTTTTTTATGTTTTTTTGATGATTTTAAAAGTGTTTCTGGTGTTTGCCGTATTATTAAGTTTTTTTTTGGTTGCTTTGCAGAGACTGTAGGGATGAGTAAAGGTTTCACATGACCCAGAGTCAACAAAGCTCAACATCTGAAGCCCCACCAAGGTACACAGCATTAGAAGACTATTTGATTACCATCAATTTATTACAGTGTTACTGAATTACATTAGACACAGAGCGACTGGAGATTTGCTGGGTGATTCTACGTTATCCAACAGAGCTGCGGCTCCAAAAACAGGTCACTCTGTCTGCAATGGTGCAAAGGAGCACAATAAGTAAATATCCCAAACCTTCAACCAAACCAACAAAAGCGATACACTATGAAAAGGTCAAGTAATGTTCTATATATATATATATATATATATATATATATATATATATATATATATATATATATATATATATATATATATATATATATATATATATATATATATATATATATATATATATATATATATATATATATATATATACATTTTTTTTTTAGTTAATATGGGTAAAAATAAAGAAGCTCAGAAAGTCTTTTGAAGTCCACTGCACTTTGAATTTTCTTTAAAGGAACTTAGCAGAAGTGCTCTACTAAAAAGTACTGATTCACTGAAACACAATCTGTGGCCCCTTCAAAGGGATTTAAATCTTCTACCTGTTGAGAAATAAACTCTTTATATTTGATTAAAGCTGTGAAACTTTTTATTAAGATACACTGCAAAACAATCTAGATATAAGTAAATATGTCTTAAATCTAGTGTATTTACACTCAATTTGAGTAGGTAAATAAGATGATTTGCCAATGAAATTAGTATTTTTACTCTTAAAATAAGATAATTAGATAATATGCACTTGAAATTAGACAATGCAATTTTTTTTTTAAGTAAATTGTCACGTAACTCCTTAATTTAAGAAAAAAATTGTCTTGTGTTTAGATTTCAATTTTTTTACAGTGAATAAAGACAGTATTTCAAAGCAAGATGTATATTCAAGTGGAAGACTCTTGCCTGCCTACTGATCACCTCCTTGTACACTCAAATCTAATTATTTTATCCTAAGAGCAAAAATACTCATTGCTTTGGCTGATCATTTTATTTGTCTGCTAAAATTAAGAGCAAATGCACTAATAAAAAAAAAAAAAAGATTCCTTTTTTTAGACCAGTTTTTGTCCATTAGACCAATTTAATATTTTGGTCATTTATTTTTAGAAATCACGCTCAGCTTTAAGCTTCAGCCATATTAAGATCAGGAGTCTTTGTGGTTCACTTACACTAAAAGACATATTGTTGCCATATTTTAGACATAGAAAGCAAGAGTTACTCTATTTGTAGAAAACAAATGGTTGTTGACACAAAGTTAAAAGTAGACTAGCTTAATATGGCTAACTGACTGAGCTAAAATAGGCTAACCTGTTAGGTTAAACTTCATCGGTCATTAGACCCGCTAACACTACAGAGGCTCCCGACTTGGTACACGGATGCTGCATTATGTTATTATCCTTGTCTTGGCAAACAACTATGTTTTACATTAGAGGCCTTCAACAGGGGGTCTGTGACCCCGAAAGGGGTCCACGGAGGTACTGCATGGGTGTCTCAAAATCTTTGGTTGATTTTTTTATTTTTTTTTATATTCCCCCCTGCAATTTCTTCCACTAATTGAAATGTCTTTAAATACAGATTAACATAAATTCAACAGACTGTAAAAAAACAGATAAATGGAGGCAGAAGATGTCTTTCAGTCATCAAAGCACACATTCAGCGACACACAGGAGCTCTTTCAAGCTGGACACAGCTTCATTCACAAAACCTATCCCATCAACGAGGAATCAGAATAAGAAATACTTTAATAATCCCAGGGAGACATTACTTTCATTACATTACTCTGTAATAGAGTGACTATAGGACCATTTTGATATAACACAATTTCATACAATATATATAATTAGGGGGTCCCCGCTCCATCTCGCCATCAGTTTGAGGGTCCTTGGCTTGGAAAACGTTGAAGACCAATGTTCTTCAACGTTTAGCAATGTTCAGCCAATCATATATCGCAATGTCACTGGCATGCACAGGGCCCAAGCAGATCTGGTACCTACACCACTGACCACAATTTTTGAACACCTTTTGTCCTTATGTAAGTTTGTTCACTCACAACCACGATGAACCACCACCCCCACCCAGTGAATTTCATTTAAAACTGCCACTGCAGATACCTATATTTAAAAAACATATATATTTAGTCAAATCTGCCACAAAATCATATTTTGCTGCTGGTAAAAGCACACTTACGTTCCCAGAATGTCTTTAAAATCATATTTCTCCTTGATATCCGAGGTCTTCTTTTTCCAGGCGTGTCCGTCCTCACCCAGTGGCATCTTCTTGTTGTGGCAGTCAGAAACAATACTAGTAAGGAAGAAAACAGCATAAAATGAAATGCACATCAAACATATAAAAAAACAGAGCTGAAAACAACTGGTAGCAAAATGCTGGTTTGCTTTGGCTGATTTGGTTGCTACCCTCATAAAATAGTCATTTTTATACAAAAGTGATATTAATTGAGAAAAAGTGTACAAAACTAGCATATCCTTTAGCGTGAATTGAGTTAGAGTGCATATTGACCTTGTGGGAGTGCTTTGGAAAGAATCATTATAGCGCTGAAAATAATACTTGGTAACATTTATTACGCCTGAAAGGACACAAAAGCAGAAATCCTCTCTGCTTTGTTCTTTCATGGAAATAAACCACCAATTTAGATCATAGATCTAAAACAAAATATCTTAATTTGACATCAATAAAATACACTGCAAATATTTCTAAATATTTCTAGCAAAAAAACAGAGGAAATGGTTACTTTTGCTAAAAGGAAAAGCTATTTGGTTGGGCTTTTGAACAAATTTATTTTATAAAGGATAGGAAAGAGTCTGGCAAAAAAGCAAATATATGACTCAAGCTTAGGTTTAGCTTTGTAGCAAATCCTGCAGGAATTTATTGCAGAGAGAGAAACTGTCACACCTACTATCTCCCAAGTTAAAGATTAATAGTTTGACTCAATTGACATGATTATAAGTGCTTTGGCCTAAAGATACAAATGTTGTAATGTGGTTCAGTAGCTTTAGTGCTCATACTGCAGAGTAACAACATCCAAACAGGAGCATTATGCACTCTCAGTACACCGCTTGTACAGAAATATTCACACCACCTTGAAGTTTTTACAGATCTAATCTCATAGGTCAAAACAAAGTATTTCAGGACTATAAAGTGGAAAGAAAATAAAAAATCTTTAGGGCTGCAACTAATGATTATTTTGCAAATCTGTTGTTTACTTTTTCGATTAATCGATTAATAATCGGATAGCCAAAGATTCTAAAAGACTTTTTACTGAATGAAACCAGGAGAAACTCAAAGTTCTCCACTTAAGGAGTTGTGGATAGAGAATATTGACAGACAAAAAAGCTTCTTTTTATCTTAAATGCAAAATGTATATATGTTGTTTTAAAATTTTGATATAATTACTGTTCTAAGTGGGTTGTTCTGTCAGCTAAAGGCACGTTTTAAAGTCTATATACTCCAGTCACATTATAATATTCTATAATATTAATACTAATTAATTAATCCAAGTCAACTACTGTGTAGTCTTTCCTTAGCTCTCTACGGTGCAGATATTTTTATATCAACAATAGAACAATCTGTTTTTATGCTCTTTTGTACTATACACACTCTTTTTATATTGTCTGTTGCATTTGTATCTCTAATGGCATCTTGCTTTATTTATCTAATGGCATCTTTATTTTATTTATTTATTTATCCTTTAGTAAATGATTAATAGATTACTAAATTAGTTGACGATTATTTCAATATTTGATTAATTACGATTAGTCCGATTATTTTAGCCTTATAAATCTTTCAAATTTTTCTGGCAAAAAAAAACAGTTTTGGTGTGGTTTTGTAATCCATAGTCTGCAGACGTGCAGGCATGGATTCTTTTTTTCGAAATAGCTCAAACTCAGACAGATTTGCATGGAGGTTGTTTAAGCAGCAGTTCTAAAAGTAGGACTTTAAACTCTCATTTTTAAACCACTGAATGCAAATGAATGCATTGCATCCCTTGGTGCAGGTTTTAGGATTTTATGGGGGGGTTTGCCCATAATGTTACTATGGCGATTAGATGCTTCTGTGATCAATGCTCTCATTTCCTGGTCTGTCAGTTCAGGAGGACATGAAGGTTTACTGCTGTGCCAAATGCTTTCCATTCAGGACTGATTTTCTAAGCAGTGGTCTGTGAGAGGGTCAAAGGTTAGCTTATAGTTTTATAATCTGAAACTTTCAAAGAACAGTTTTATTTATAATAAGTTTTAACTTAAATATATGTAAAATCTTCTAGATAAAGGTGAGACTTTTTGAGGCGATTTAACATTTATCCCCTACTTTTCAATTTTTAACTTGTAGATTTTGTGACTGTAACAAGACATAATTTGAAAAAATGTTCAAGAGGATAATCAGTTTTACAAGGCACTGTATGTAATAAGCGGTAACCTACATACTATTTGCATAATACTCCCATGTAAGATCAATGTAAAGAAACACAAAAACCTGAAACATGTTGAGTCACAGCCTTTTACCAGTTCCTCCTTCAAAAGAGCTTCACAGTCAGATTGAATCCACTCCACTCTTTCAGGGTGCTAAAGGGGAACTTGCTTTCACAGTTTTCATCATACGAGCCTGAAAGTATCTACAGCTAAAGACCTCGAGTCGCTAAATTAGCTCTGTTACCACTGCCTGCTCTGCAACTTCCTATTATGTGTATCAGAGATGATATACTAAACTGTTCTAGACTGTATGAGAGCTGTTTGGTTGAAAAACTCAACGATAATTCAGTCTCTATATGCAGATAAATATATACACATTAGCTGTCTCAAAGCTTCCTATTAGTTGCCATGGTTACTCCAAGGAGCTGCTGCTGTATCTTACGTGTCAAAGCTGTGGTAGAGCCTGATGGCAGCAGGTAGCAGCTTAGCTTGATGTCTTATTTAGTCTAAAAGTATTTGCAGACTCTGTAAGTCATACGCTATGCAGATGCATGATGGGCAGTCAAAAGCTCTTCTTCAACTTTACTTAGAAATCCTAGAGGAAGTTCAAAATGTATTAAAGGTGTTAAGCTTTTACTTAATGTAGATGAAACTTAATACATGTACACACTTTTAAGAAAGGCTCTTTATCCCTTTATTTATACTGTCAGACATTAAGTTAGTCCTAACTTTTCTCTCTGCATTTTTTTTTTATCCTTTATGGTAAATTAGCCTATTAAGGTTTTTCATCATAGTTTGCTGGAATTTTTTCTGCTCTAAAGGGTGAGCAGGAAATACTGCAAAGAAATATATATATATATATTTTCCCCCTCATTTTGAGGTGTTGTACCAGAGTCAGTTGTGTAGAACTGCTTTGTTGAGCTACATACACATATTGCATCATGATGCTGCCACCACTATAATTTTCTGTTATGTTCTCTAGCTTGTAATATTATCTATTTTATTGCAAATGTCACAAAGGTCATTATATCATCTCAGTGCTCTAAAGCAGGGGTCTGCGACCCTTTCAACTCAAAGAGCCACTTTAAAATCAAGGAAACAAAATAAGATTTGTCAAGATTTTTTGAATATTAAAAGTCCAGGAAATTAAATTATGATTTTCTATTCTTAAAATTTAAGGTAAAAAGGGTCATGTTACATTTACAAAAAGAGAAGAAAAAAACCCTAATAAAGCTTTTGTTCTGTTGAATGAGGCAGGGTGACTGGGACACTATAGATATGAAGGAAAAGGAATGATATTTAGCCAACATTAATATATAAAAACAGCTAAAGTTGAAGGTGTTAAATTCCTTTTATAAGCCTTGTCCTTCTATTGCTGTGGTGTTGTAGATTTTCTCTACTTAAATTGCTTTAAAACAAGATAAATCTTTTTTTATTGTCTTCTTAAATGAACATTTTTATTTTTATTTTTTTGGTTAGGGCCACACGGAAGGATCTAATGAGCCACATGCAGCTCTGGAGCTGCAGGTTGCATACCCCCTGATCTAAACGGTGAGCAAAAAGACTGCAAAAAAAATCTCTTTCCTTCCCTGATGTAAAACAGGAAAAGTTTAGTCTGACCTAATGTTTCTTTGTATAGATCTGGTTTCAGTTGTATACCTTATTCATTTCACACTAATTTACTATTCACAGAGTCTTTACAAAAGGGAAGTGGCACTGAAATAGACCTGAACAACCAGAATTTACAGTGATGTAGTTAAAGGAAGCAACAAAGAGGAAGTCCAGTTAAAAGTCTGTAAAGACTTTTGCTGGTAAATCTCGTTTTGTAAAACTCCTATATTGAACAACAGCTCTTTAATACAAAACAATAAAAAGAAAATAATACAGAATTGACTGTAACTCGACGCCCAAGTCCAAATTCAACCAATGAGGATCCTTTACAGTGCACGAATGTTCTCTAAAGCTGATGGATAAATTCCACTTAAATTAAGAAACTGAATACATATCTATTTACAAAATAGAACCTAAAAGATGATTTTTGTGGAGCAAAAAACAAAAGTTCTCACTTTGAATTTAATTGATGTGGTAAACTGCATGTTTCAGGAATTGCTTTGCTTTTCATTGTACTGGGGCAGCCTTTTATTAGGGAGTGCACTTCATTTCTGAGAAGACATTACCACGGCTGTCTGCTGTCGGTGCTTCGCCTGAGTGAGGATGAAACCCCTGAGACAGGCAAGCACTGCAGTTGAGATAACATTGTTTGGATTTTCTTTCTGGTTCTTTTGAATAAAAAATAAATTATTGCAATCTTAGAATTGCCCTTCTAAACACAATGAATGCAATTAAATTAAAATAAAGATGTTCTTTTAGTAATAAGGTATTAACACTTATTAACTAAGATGCCTTTTCAGATTTGAACTAAACTAGTTCTAAGAAATCAATTTGCTGCACTTTGCGGAAGAGTTTTATATACAGAACAATATTATCAACCAATAAAAAGACTGTGGCTTCATTTATTTTAACAAATCATGTTTCATTGTATCTTCTTCCTTCTGATCAGCCCACAGCAGCAAGACATCCCAACCATTCCAGGAAGGAAAAAAGTCATTAAAAAAAGAGGATATAACTGCACAAACTGAAGCCAGAGAAACAGAGAAAGCACCTTTTACATCCACCTTGTTTGTAGCATCTCACCTTGCTCATGTGAAGACATAGATGATAATTCATGCACTGAGAATTCGAGATACTAAAACATAAAAGTTATTTTCAGGTCTGAATGCATCAACCTTTCTGGTATTAGTTTGCATTCATGTTCTGCATGTAGCTATGTCCAGCAAATGCCAGCATGCACCTAAAACTCCATTCAGTCTTTTAGCT